GAAAAAACAGATTTACCCTCTTTTAGAAGAAACTTTAGTGATACAAGTCCTTTCTTAAATATAACTAGTTTATTCTTTCTCAATACAACTTTGCAATACACTTAATTTCCATAGTCACGCTATAACTTAAACAAACACCACAACGAACGATTCACGCGCTTGACTCAATTGTCCGTCTCTATCTCTGTCTGCAATTCAATTCCATTATTGCCGTCACTTCTTGGCGGTCTTATATTCAAGAATACCGCACATCCAGTAAACACTCGAGCATTCATGAACCTTCGAGAATATCATGACATGTTACTAGCATCACGTGACTTCCGCTGTCGTAACAATATTATTTAAGAATTGCCCAACTGCTTCATGTAAGTATGCTGTATCTGAGACTAAGATCCATCTTAGTAAGTGGAAAAAAACATGAGATTTTAATAGGAAACTAAGAATAAAAAGATGTTCTCATATAATTGTTTTAGTGTGTCAGTCAAAAGAGTTCTTTATATCTGTTAGAAATTAAATGAACTCATTCATCTAGATATTTTTAAAAAAATTGTTTCTGGTAAAACCTACCAAATTGACTTGCATATTATTATTATTTTGTATTTAAAACATTTAGTGTTATAAGCAGTTGAAGTGATGTGATTTATGTTTATTTTATATATTTAAGAGTAAGATAATGTTCTACAATTAAGTAATTCAAATCATACCAGATCAAAAGTATAGTTTGAATATGGCTATGTAAATCAAGAATTTCTAACAATTGTTTTTGAAAAGCAGAAAATTTCATATATATTTAAAATGTTGAGTATTTAAGTTGACCAGTTCAATGTATGTTTATAATAAAGTGTAGTTGTTTTCACTATTGTAGTTTTAATTTGAATCTTTTAGCTAAAAAATTAGCTTTATGTTAATATGGTTGTAAGAAAGTCTTAAACTTTTGTTTTGTTTTTTCCTGTTCTTCAGTAAAAGTGACTTTAGTTGACTTCCAAGAGACATACATATTTAACCTTCCAAGTGCCTATGCTCGCTCCATTCTTACTTCTCCATGGGTTGAGCTTGGAGGGCGGGTAACTATCTTCTGTTCAAGATCTGGGTGCAGTTCTGTTCTCACTTTTCACACAAAGGTTTGTATAGTTAGATGGAAAAGCTAAGATGGCATACTTTTGTATGAAATAGAATGATAATGTTTTCACTGAACAGATTGTCAGGGTATAACAATTTTTTATATGATACTCTGTGTTAAATAGATAAGTTAATTAATTTTTGAATTAATTTGTGTAAGTAAACAGAAGGCCAACTTTGTTCATTTTATTTGCAGTGATTAGAACATATCCACTTTAAATATGTGAAAATTGTAAGTAATGTAGTACAGATTTTTGTTGATACATTCATTGGTGGCTGTATGGTATATAATAATTACTTGTAAAAACACAGAAGAACTATGATCTCATTTCTTACTGTAACAGGTTTCATGAATTGCCAAAAACATACCTATGCAATACATTTTAAGCTATATACAGATTTACTATTTTGAAACTTAATAACATACTTCTTCAACTGTGAATACACCGACTTCAACACTTGTCACTATGGCATACATATGAATTACAATATATATTCAGTAGGTATCAGGAAAAATTGTAGCTGATTTGTGATTTTTTAAGCCAATTTGGTATATAGTTGAAAGGTACTTAATTTTTTTTCATTTATCATAACTTCAGTATCCTTAAAATGCTAAGGATAACTTAACATGATTCAAAGTTTTTTTTAGGATATGTATTATAATATTTGATGAATAATTTATATGGTTGTTTTTGTTGCTTGTATTTCCATAGCATGTTTTTCAGTAAATATTAAGGAAAACTGCAACACACACGACTTTTTTTGTTTCATTTTGATCCATAATTTCTCAGCCATTCTATGGTGGGAAGCTCCATCGAGTTACAGCAGAAGTGAAGAATTGTGTTGGAGATGTCTTTTGTAGAGTTGGAGGAGAATGGAATGGTTCTCTAACATTTACTTACCAAGACGTAAGTTTTTCTGTAACCTATGTTCTTGAAGTGACATCGTACGAGTGAAAATAAAACCTGTGTCTAAATTATTTCGCATGTGATTGTAGAAAATTTTTCCTCTAATTATATGTTACACATCTTTTGTTTTTTGATGAAATTTTAATTCTTATTCATAATCTTTTTATTTTTTATCCAGGCTTTGGCCTAAATTAGCTTTCAATAATGTGTCCTTAATACTTAGAAACTGAAAGTGTAGAACATCACTACTAGAAGAGGAATCTTATCAAAACCACAAGTTTAGAAAAAATATCTTTAATAATTCTAGATCTAAATTATAGACAACATCACTTTTAGAAGAACAAATTACTTTAATACTATTAAACTAAAACTATATCCACCATTACTTGTAGAAGAAGCAATGTTCTTTGTAATCAAATTTAATGTTTAGATTTCTAGAGGAAGAAATGTATGTAATACTCGTAAACCTATGTTATAGATACTATCACTTGTAGATAAGTGCCCTTTTATTTTTAGCAGTATGATTTTTGTAAGAAATGTCTTTAATACCCTTATTAACCTGTAGTGTATACATAGTATAAATTAAACAACATTTAAAGAAATGGATATTTTTAAAAGTTAAGAAGTTTTAGTGTAGAAAACAACACTTTAGGGCAAAACAGTGATATTATTATGATTATTTTTAATAAAGACTGATGAAAGGATGAACTTTTGAAACATAAAATTAAACTTGTACTTTTTTATGTAGGAATAACTTTGCTGTCAAGTAAAAATATGAGGTGAACGATGTGATTTTTTACTTGCCTCCCCTCATACTACAGCTATCAGTTGACTGCCAGGGTTTCCTTCCTTTGCCTATCTAAGCATTGGTCTGAAGTTTTCTCACATGCTCCAGTCTTTTATCCCCACTTTATTGCCCTTGGTGATGTTTGTCACGTGACATTCTCCACCTATGTCAATGCGTCCTCTATCCTGGTACTGCATATAAGCAACTCATTCAGATAATATTATCATGTTTTCTTGACAAAGCATTCACTGACGGGTTTCTCTGTACTACTATCACTGGAGATACTTTGAGCATTCTTTGTGTTACCTAGTTGAATTTCATTAAACAATTTTCCCATCTGTTTGTTGTGCCCAAGAAGACAGGAGATTGGCATCCAGTCCTTAATCTTTCTCATTTATGTCAATTTCTAGATCCTCCAAGTTTCACAAGTGAGTTATTCGTCACTCCGAGTTATGGTTTTTTTACTAGAATTGTGGATGTCTGAGTTCAATGTTGCCAAAGTGGTGACATTTTGCCACTATCTGCATTTTGTGCACAAGAGTCAGGTGCTGCAGTTCAGGGCTCTGACCTTCGGACTAGCACTGGCACCATATGTGTTCTGCTGAATTGTATGAGTTTTTTCTTATCACTTCCTTTCCCTAGACCTATGCACACACCATTCCATGGACTACTTGTTACCACTGGCACCATCTCATCAATTGGGAGAACATCACACTCAGATTCTACTTTCAGAAACAACCAAGTCAGGCTTCATTATCAGAGCACAGATGTCTGTAGGAGAGGCACCAGCCTTTGTGAGAGCCTACTCGTAATACCAGTTCAGATTTGATGCTCTGCTATCTAGTTGGGTTGAGTGTGGCCCTTCATTTTAATCAATATTGGTTCAGTAAATTGTTCATTGTCTCCTCATACTTCTAAACACAGTGTGGTTCCATCCCAGATCTTTGGTTGAGCACAGTTTGTTCCACATCCTCCCCATAATTCCAAAAACAAGAAGAATTTACCTTGCCCACTTGGTTGGGGAGTGAAGATGTGTGTTTATAATTCCAGATGGGATGAGTTCTATTTCCTCAGGTTGAGTATGGCATACAGAATCCCGTCATTCTGTGTTTGGGGTGTTGCTTTTTGGACTTCTTCAGGTTGAGGAGAAGGTTTGTCCACTTCGGTGTTGCCTACTTTCTCATGTGTATATATATATATATATTATGGTCCAACTGCCCTAGCCACCCTAGCCTGGCCAATCACAATAAAAATGTAGTTTGAAATTCCCTCAGTTTTTTTTAACAAGTATCAATAATGGCTCACACTAGGAGTTTATGAAAATACATAAAAAAAATAGAAAACAGTTTGTGAAATAAATAAGTTTGAAATGAGCACAAAAGAAGAAAATAAAATAAAATACGCTTTTCATGCAAGATCCATTCTCACCTGAACTTCTGATATATTATTTTTAAGTAATGTTATTTTATTCATATATTTTTGTAAACTTTTGGTATGGGTCATAACTGGTACCCATTTTTTGAATTTTAAACTAAATTTTTATGCAAATTATAAAACCTTTATTTTTGTATTGTAGAATATTTTTAAACCTTGATATGATTTTGATAAAATATATTGATATTATAAAAATGTGGAGACCAGTTAATTAAGTTATTTTAAAGGAGGACTTTATCTCTACAATTACAGCACCATCTTCTTGTTGGTATAAAAATTTTATATGCGTTTGTTTTATGAACATAATATTTGGTTTTGTATTGTAAGTTCATTGAGATTATTATTGTTTATTATTAAAAAAGTTATTATTATTATTTTTTTAAATGCTGTACTTTAATTGTGATTAAGGATTATCCAGACTGTTAAAATATAATTTAAATTTGTGGTACATAATTTTAGGGTTCAATTAAAAACTTGAATGTGGAGAACCTTCCAAAAGTTCCTAAACGAGTCCGGCCAGTTAAAAATCAAGATGAAAATGAATCAAGGAAATTATGGCACAGAGTAACGACAGCCATTAGAGCTAATGATATGTTTGCTGCTACAACAGAAAAACAGATTGTAAGTAATGTAGTGAAATAGTTTATACTGGGTGAAGTTTTGATTTAAATGTATTGCAAACAGTAATAAAGATAATAATTCAAGTGTACTGGAAAAAAGTGTGTAATAAGAAGTGTATGAATATGATATGAAAAAGTTGCACCCTAGGGTTCAAATAGTAGACATCTATTTGATAAAATATTTTAATTTTTTCTATTGTTTTTTTAACCTTAAAATTTCAGTAGATTTTTAAGCATATTTTGATAAATTATTTATGCACCAAATTGTTTGTGGTCCACAATTAGTTGTTAGAAGGTCTTTAATGGTACAAAAAAATGTCAACAAAATTCTCAGTAATATTGCAGTTAATGGTGGGCTCTACTCTGTATTTTACATACAAAGTTAGTGATTTCACACAATTGTTTTTCATTGAGTCTATACAATGAATATTTTAACAGCCAAAGACCTAGAATTAGTAAATATGATTATGTGAACCCCACCAGTAGTAAATGATATAAAAACAAGTGGTGAAATGTGAAACAGTAAAAGGAAGTTTTACATGTGAAGGTTTATATAGATAAAAATTCTCCATGAGAATGTAATGAATACATTCCTGAAAGATGTGTGCATTTGAGACCTGAAGTTTGAACCTAACACTATGGTTTAGATTTTTATAATGTAATAATGTACATATACAATACAGAAGAATAGATGACAACAAAGAAAATATTTCAATCCACATACCTCATAGACACCTATTCTCTATCAAAGCACAAAACAGAACAGTGTTTCTAAGTTTCTCAATTATAAAACTAATCTTCTTCATTGACTATTCTAACTATTGTGTTCTTAGTTTCTACAAAATGACAATATGGACTCAGGATAATTTGCCTTTAAAGGCATATACTTTATTTTACAAACTGATACTGTAGTTCAAATTATATATAGATATACGCGAAAAAAAAAGTTCAAAATTATTTTTTCTATTTGACTTTTGAATCTACTGAACAATAAAACATTTCACATCCATACTAACCCACGAATTACTAAAAATAAACAAAATAGCATAAGCAATGGAGATAATAAAATCTAAGACTGTAGTCTTTTTTGTTTATTTCATTTGCAAAAGTAGGTAGACTGGAAATTTGTTTTTATCTTTTTGTGTTAAGAAAGCATTTCTTAACATTGAAAATATATAAATATATATTAAATTTCACATGCAGTTGTAGTTGATAAACGTTTTTTTTACTTATTGTGTATGCGTAAACTGATTAAGGAGTGTTTTTCCTGTTATTTTATAGCCAGAAATATTGCCTGTTTGATATAAATTTTTGGCTGCCAGAATATCACTCAGATTACAGTATTAACTGTGCTGTGTCACTAGATCTTTGACCCTTGATCCCTGGCTATATTTTCCAGAGAAGGAAAATGCTACTCAAAGACATTTATCTGAAATATTAATGACTAGGGCAATCAATAAACTGTTTAATATCAATTGGTTATTAACTGAATTTGGTAATGCTATGTATAAAATCTACTACAACACAGAAATCACACTCATTATCTCATACATCTAAAACTTAACACTGAAGTCACTCCATATTTTTGAAAAGTATTTTATCTTTTCAGTTAGTGGGATATTGATTTCTAAAAAACTACTGAAAGGCAACAGTAAACAAATTAATTCAAGTTTTCAAAATTTGATTTTAGAAAGAGAAAGCCTACTGATTGCATTTTAAATATTGGCATATAACTATGATCTACACTATTGAAGGATTTTCAGTGAAGTTGACCTACATTTCAATGATCTGGACACAATTGTAAGTTCTTGTAAAATTCAGGAACATGTTAACTTTTATATCTTGATGGAGTTAAACTTTTTTTTTCCCATCACAGCTTGAAGAGAAACAGAGACGTGAAGAAGAATGTAGGGAAGCTGCTTGTGTAAGGTATCAAGGAAAGGTAAAATTGATTTTAGTTGATTATTATTGAACTATAACAACATTGCTTGATAGAACTTAGTTAACATTGTTGTAATAACAGGAGTCAGAAGAAATTGGGAAATTTAACATTTTGGTTTTATAATTGATTAATTTACTGTGCATTTTATTGAAAAATGGTACTTCTAAAAATATATCAATGGATTTAGTGTGAAAATCCCTTAAAAGTATGCCTTTATGGTTCCTAGGAGCAAAAATAGTGGGCATACCAAGTATGACCCTGTAGTGAGGAAGGGGTTGATTAAAGATTTCAGTGGCATACCCTGTTAGTGTATTTTTACAATTTGTGCAGGATTTAAAAACATATCTTAATTTAAAGAAAATGAAAGTACTTAAACTTGCATCTCTACAATTCATGATTTCTGTAAAAAACAAACCTAATACAAATTTTAATTTCTTGTATAGGATGTCTACAAATAACTTCCGATACAGTACATTACCTCTTCTTACATAAATAGCTATTCTCGTTCAGTGCTGCCCTCCATATGCAAAAAATTATGAATGCCACAAACCTTGTATCTCCCCTCCACTGGAATTAATTGATTCCCAATGCAAATCATCATGCATCAATCCACCACCAATAAGTGTGTGACATGCTCTCATAACGCATGTTACTCCCTCTGTTCAATTCTATCACACTTCTCATTTAGCAGTACTCGTGTTCAGACATGTTTTTTTTTGTTGCTCTTTATGTGAATCATGATTTTAATAGTTTAATTTCCAAAGTAGAATTTCTTCATTATTATTTAATTTATTTTTTTCCATTGAGTAAATCTTTTATTTTAACTTAATTTTGCAGTCTTTATTTTTTTCGCACATTTTAGATCAAACACTTTTGTTTGATTTACGTATTTCTACAATGAATTCTGAGGTTCATGTTCCCACTTAGGGTGTTGTACGTTTAGTACTATTTTCACAGGCTACAGGTGGGAATAGCTCTGTTGTTGGATTTCTCTGCTATTATCCATCATGAGATTGATTGTTATATGGGTCAGCCTTTTTCTCCTGAACTTGACCCACTAATCCTCTTGAACAAGCCAAAACTATTCGGGCCAAGGAAGTTTTGATAGCCTTTTTACACCACCGGATTTTGCTGTGTGTTTTCCTTCCCCTCTTGCTAGGCCTAGTACAGTATTTTTTGACATAATTTCTCAAGTATGGTATGTTTTACCTAATTCCGTTTTTTATAATTTTTTATTACTTTCATCTTGGCTCATTAGTCATCTTTGGGTCTCGCTTTACACACTTGACTTCACTGTAGTTGGGATTTTCTAGGTTGTTGCGTGACCTTGTCCCGGGATGTTTGGGGGGGGGGGGAGATTTTCTGTATTTTTTTTCTTTGGTGATATGTTTCCAATCATGTCTCTGAGATTTTGGAGTTTTGTGTGTAATCTTTGCATCAACAATCAACCCTTTCCTGTCCTGGTCCTTATCTACCCATTTCTGTCACCCTTCCAGGGGTTTCTTATTTTGTCGTTTTATTCAATGTTGATGGGCATGTTTCTAACAATACCGGAGACTAACCAGAAGATTCCGGTCCTGTGGGAGTTTGATTATATTATATTGTTACGCTTTAGCAATCTTTCACTACAGTTCTATGGGTTCTTCGAGTTTTATCAGAGGGACTTGTACTGCTATTTCTTTTCCCACCTTCATTGTCTTTAGTACCCTTTTTCATCCCCATGAATTAGGATCCTGCCACCAGTCTGAGTCTGTCCAACATGGTACAAGATTTTCTGCCTCTACAGGCCATTGCACCTATTCATCATTTTTCTCCAGGCTGTTTGTTGTCCTCGTGCCAAATCGAAGATTGGTGGCCTGTCTTATTCTAATTTTCAAACTGCCACATTTTACCTTGGAGTTGTTTCTCACCCTTAAGTGGCCTTTTTCTCCAGGTTTATTGATGATAAAGAGGAATGTCGTGAATGCTTATTTGCATATCCCAGTATTCCATCACTCATGACCTTCTCCTAGGTTTATTCTCCACAGAGAAGTTTCTCTGTTTTGCACACTGCCCTTCGGACTTGTATGTTTTGTCAGGCTATCAGAGTATTCATTCATCACTTATGTGCTTTTGGGTTGGACTTTCCTCTTCCTTTGGTCGAGTGGCTACTATTCACTTGTTCCAAACAGGAGTCTACCTGTTACCCTTATCAGTTGCTCCTGGAGGCAGCTATAATGGGCTGTTAAAAAAAGTTGGAGAAGTTCTTACTGGATGTTTTTCTTTTTCTAAACATATCTCAGTTGGGCCCGCCCCTCTCCTTTTTGACTTCGTTCAATGGGTTTTCAGGTTTGATTACAGCTCATGAAGTTCTATCGCTTTTGGGGATGTGATCTTCCATGGTAGCCCTTATCCCCATAGGTCAGGCTCATGTTTGGGCTCTTTCATGGGCTTTTCATAACCAGTAGAATTTTGCAGGGATACTTTTTTTGGTGCTTATTACCCTTTCTCCTACCCTTGTCATCAATCGGCATTGGTGGTTAGATATGACTTGCACATCAGCAGGTGCCCTGCTTCCTCCTCCAGTTTTCCACATTTCATAGATGCATCTTTTTGGCTGTGGAAGGTGTAGGTTGGAAAGTTTGGAGTTTTTGGTGAATGTCATTCAGCTTCTTGCTTGCTGTAGGTCAAGTTTTGGCTCATTTTCTTCATCTGGCCAGAAGTTGTCTGGTAATGATCCATTTCAACTTTTCTTCAGTTATCTCAATCACAAGGGCAGCATCCATTCTCCTTCCCTCTGTATTCATACGTTGGATCTTCTTTTTGGGCCCACACGCTCAATATTTCTATCATTCCATATCACATTCCTGTCCAGACAACATTTATCTGATGGAGTGGTCTCTTGATCCTTTTATTTTCCAGTGGCTTTAACTTCAGCAGTGTACTCCTCACATTGAGTCTTTTGCTACATCCCTTAACCACAAATTGCTTTGGTTTTGGTCTCAGGTTCCTCAACTTCTTGCTTTGGCTATTGATGTTTTAAGCCAGGATTGGGCCTACACATTTGTCTATCCTCCTGTTCTACTTTTTCTCCAGGTGATTTCATTCATCCTCGACACTCTGTGTTCAGTCCTTCTGATAGCTCTTTCCTGGCCTTCTCAGCTGTGGTTTCTGTCGCTTCTCCAACTCCCTCCTCCATTACTTTTTCCTCTGTCCCTTCTTCACCACCCTCAGTCACGGGTGTTTCATCTAGACCTTCCTGTCTTTCGTAATCACTCCTGGTTTTCCTCTGGTCATTTTCAAGATGATCTGGCATCACCTGATGGTTAGCCTCTTTTCTGGCTTGTTTCATTCACCCTTCCTACATGGAAGTTTCTCAACACAAATGGAATTTTCCCATCATTGCTTTCTTGGTTCAGGTTTTCCCCTGATCAACCACTATTCCTCATCATGCAGATTTCCTCTCTTGACTTTTGAATTGTGGGTCTTTTCAGGTGGTTCTCTTCCACACCTTTCATTTTTCCCGATCTTCAAGGTATTTACCTCTCCTACACTTTACCTGTGGATGTGTTCTTTCTGGATTTGTCATCCACTAAGGCGGGCTGACCTTTCGGATGGGAATATTAATGTGGTTTTGCACTGCTTCACTTTGCCTAAATTTGAACCACTCTCCCAGTGCTCCTTGTTTCATTTTCCCTTATGTCTTCCATCCTTCTCCTATTTGCATGTGGATGTCAGTGGCCTGTTTATTTGTCATCGATGTTTCATGTACTCTATCCTTCTACATATCTTTTTGTTTCTTTGGATTGTGTTTCCTCCCTAATACTTTGGCAGCTTGTGAGGATAACTCCTTCGCTTAACTGCCTTCCCTTCCTTCTGTTCCACACCTTTATCCTCATTTTGATTTGGATAGGCTTCTATGTTCTGTACGTGCTCTTCTCTGTTATATTGTTTGCTTGGCTTCTTTTTGTGGTGTCCATTCCTTACTCTTTCTTCTTTGGCAACTGTCCTCAGTTCGTGTTCTTTCTCTTTCCTCCTTCACCAATTAGGTTTGGCTCTTCATTCATTTGGCTTTTTCCTCTTTCTCTGGTACTTTGTCCTGAGTTTCATCTTTGTCATCTTTTGGAGGTACTTTTTCAGTTGGGCATGTTGGCTACCCATGATACATCAGATCAGGGTTTTCTTCGTCTTCCACTTGTAACCATTCTAGAATATTAGAATTCAGTGAGACTTGGACTGGATAAGTTGTTGTTTTTTTTCCTTTTCTGGGGCACTTTTCCATTTTATTATTGTTCATTGGTTGGATCTCACTCTGTGGCGAGTGGTGCCTGACCAGGTATTCTTTAACTATTCAAAGCCACACTGTCAAGCCATGTTGACTTGCATATTATAATTCCATGGCCACACACACACTGTAGAGATGGGGTGTTTTTCCAGAAGATTGCTTGTAGGTTTATCCTCACAATAGAATTGCCTGTCTTAGACCATACCCACCCATGGACTACATGGATAAAGCAAAAGGAGATCTCTGCCATGCCTTATATTGAATAAATCAGTATGAGAGACTTACCACTTTTCAGTTTCAAGCCACTGGTGTGGTGGACTGTGGAGGCTTCCTCCTGAATTGCTTAATACAAACAAAATGTAGAAATGATTATAAAAACATTCAGTTGAGAGTAGAGCGATGGTGTTCTGCTGGTGTTGATGATGTGATATTCTCCAGTATGAAACATAAAAACAAATGGGGGTGAGACTTTAAAATTGTAGTTCACCCTTTCGATTGGGATCCCTCATCCTGCCCCCACGTGCATATTGGTTTCTAGTGGCTGGATTTTGGATGTAGAGTAGAACCAATCAACATAAGTCCTCACACATGTATTACAGATGTCTATATTCCTCCCTCATTTATACTCCATCAGTGTTGTGGGTCATGGTGGAGGTAATAGTGGATTGTTATGGTTCTTTCCCTTCCGCTATCTCTCGATGTTTCTTATTCCAAGGATGTTAATGCACTTAGGGTAATTCCAGTCAGTTTCACTTTTGAGAGAGATGGTTTACATTATGTAGACATATTTTTGATACTGGATGTCAGAGTCCCAGATCAATCTATCAACTTATCATATTCAAATGTGCCCCGTTCATGAGTTGGGGGGTACTAGATTCCCGGTCTCATGATCTTGAGGTGAATACTGTATGATCCTCTTTCCTGCCCCTGCCAGATGGCTGGGTTTTGCATTGTAGTTGACTTGCCACTGGTATGATCCTCTTTTCTAACCCCACATGGCTGTCAGTTCCCAGTGACCTGGCTTTTGGATTGTATTGGACTTGCCAGTTGTATGATCCTCTTTCCTACCCCCACATGGATGTCAGTACCTGGTGGCCAGGTTTTGGATTGTAGTTGACTTACCAAAGGTATGATCTTCATAATACCCCCACGTGGATGTCGGTTCCCAGAAGTATAGGTTTTGGGTGTAGTTGACTTGCTGTGTACAGTCCATTGCACCCTAACCACTCAACACCTAGGGGCACATCCTTTTCATTTTACCCACTTTTATAATTTCTGGGAATGAGTTTCATAAATATTGCATGGTTCGGATCACTTTCTGGCCATAGTTCTTTCTCAATTGGATATGTTCCTCTGTTTTCTGCTCATATATATGTGACATCTTTCTACGATGGACGAAGTGTATACCTGGTTCAGAAGTAGTGTGGTTCCCCAAATCAGATCTTAGAATCTGACTGTCTCATCTTAGGGAGTGTCCCTCCACCTATTCAATGTGGGATTAAAGCTATTTATGTGAGAGGAGGTAATTACCTATTGGAAATACATTTTAGTGTAAGAAAATTATAACTTTTAAATGAAGAAAGAACAATTTGTGGTGAAATATGTGTCTGTCTAAAAACTTTATTCTATCTAACCACTGTTCACCTTAACCATAATTTGAAGTGACTGTTCAACAAAAAATGCATACCATTTTTGCATATAGACTGAAAACAGCTGATTAAAGAGAGCTAGACTTGTGATGAGTACTATTTTTTCACCGTATGATTACAAAAAGCATGTTCCTCTATTATTCTGTTTGGTGAGGCAACATTCCAACTGTGTTGAAATAGTCAACAGATGTAATTCAAATTTGAAAACCCACACATCACTCAGGAGATATGTGATACTTGACAAAAACAGATGTACTGTTTGATGATAATAAATCTACAGTTCCTTTTTCTACCAGGAGAAAACAGTCATAAGATTTTTAGAATCTGGATGTGCTTGAAATACTTTATACCTGTAACTTAAGGATGATGGCATTAATTGTATCTTGTATAAAAACAGGCAATACTGTATTTTGTATTTGTGAGGCACTGTACAGTGCCTTACCAAAACAGTTGACTGTGTAGGACCATTACTTTGTGTGCCATGAAATTCTAAAAAATTCTTTAGCAACTGAAAAGAAATCAAAAGCAAGATGTGCCACTTCCTCAGTTAGTAAAACAAATATTTCCTAAAGAAGTGAAATGACTTGGTTTATTATATTTTTCAGTTACCCAAAGAAGGAAGTTTGTTTTAGAAGTTTAGAGAAACACTCATCAAATGTATTTAACCTTGCATACCATGCCATTTAAACTTAATGCAACTGGACTTTTGGACATGAGACGTTTTAAGTGTTTGGCTTACACCTCACAACTAACTATACTTTATCTTAAGATTGTGAGAATTAAGTGATTAATGCATTTCCAGATTGTGCAGTTGTCAGTCTATAGGATGAATGATATAGATGCCTGTAAAAGTGTGATGTAGTCAATACAAATTGTGCAGAAAGTATACAATTTTAGGATACAATATTTACTATACAACAACTCTCTCTTTCATTCTTTAAATAGTTATTGCATGTTAAGATGTTTATCACCACTTGTAAAGTCCTGTATGATTATTTCCATGTCTGTTTATATCACATTTACGTTATTTGTTCTTTTTAGTTGTTTTCCTTCAGTGACAGCAGTGGGTGGATGTACAAGTACTCATTGACTAATTTTGAATAAGCATCAGCTTTCCTCAGATGTTTTGAAGAAATTATTAAAGAAGCTAGTCATGGTTGACTTTCTGAACACTAAAGCAATGTAGATATGTTTCTGTTGAACAACTATAATTTAACACACACTGTCATATCATGCACTACACATACAATGTATTTACAAACATTATTTGCACATGTACTTATGTAACATAAAAGCATAGAAATAACCTCATGTTAAGATGTATTATATGTACTAAACCTGATAAAATCAAACTGTTTTTTATTATTAAATATGGATAAATATGTAGATATAACTGGTAAAAAGTAATCTGCATGAAAATATTTATTTCATAAATAAATATCTTGAAGTCTTCTAATTAACTCTTTGAATACTAATTTTGTTGCATATGAATAATATATTTTTCACTAATTACTTTTGATATGGTAATTGGGAAGGATCTGAATTATGTTCACTCGGTAAATTTTATTTCATTTAGGAAATATAAATCAAAAGAGCTTGGAAATGTGCCTGTGTTTTTTGTTCATGTCTTTAATAAATTTCATTTTATTTGGTATATCGCTTAGTCTTTAGCTAAGAACTTAAAAATATATACAGTTACAGTTAACAAGATGAACATGGAAGAAAATGGTATCAGTGTCATAATATTTTATGTAAAGTTATGTATGCATGTACATATATATATGTACGTACAGTTGCTTAAGTACAAATCTGAGTACTCTGAATTTCTGTCTTTAACTAACTGTTCTCTGCTGTACACGAGTGCAAGAGTACATTTTATCTTAATTGCATGTCTGTCAGTTATTATCATACGCTTGCTTGCAACTAATTAAAGTACGAGCCAGTGTAAGTAATACTGTGGTTTACTTCAAAGTTTATGTTACGAAACATGTCATTTCCCAGTTGTTAAAGGAAATCTTCATACAGACTTTAAAAAAAATGTGTGTGTGTGTTATTAGTTTGATTAAAATTAAATCAACTGAAAAAATATCAGACACTCAAATTAATCATTTTTGATAATGTTATCATCTTTAGCAACATAGAAATTGTGTTGTTTTCACCCCTTTTAAGTCTGGTCACTGCTACTGTTGAGGTTTAAGAAATCAGTTTTAATTCACTTAACCTAAGTTTTGTTTTTCATGTTTTCTCAAAATCTAGATGTCAGTTGTGAGTATACAGATAGAGAAGTTTTAATATCTAGAACCTTACAAAAAGCAGTTGATAAGACAGCTGTTGTTTGTACTACATATACAAATATCTAAAATTATTTAGACAGAGTGGTGTGTCTTCTGTCATACAGAACCCCACCTTTTTTATAACTATGTTTCAGAATCACAATACTAAGGATTTGAAAATGTTTTGTTCAGTAAGAATTAACTCTTTTTTTTTCTTTGTCATTCATTTGCCAGTTGGATCATTTTGATAGGAAACAAGTAAAAAAATGTACTAAAAACAAACATGTAGAGTTTCGTATGATTTTCTTCAAAGTTTGATTTTGCCAACTTTATCAGATATATTGCTTATAAAAGTGAGCATGATCCTGTCTGTCTTGTGTTTTTTTTTACTATAAGATTAAGGATATTAAAATACCTGGTGCAGTTTACAGACAAACAATTTCTATAGAAGTACCAATCCTATATTAGGAAACATTGTAGGGATGTCTGTCCACTCCTTCATTGGAGACTTTTCAACTCTCTCTATTTAGACCACTTCTAAATGTTTCATCCAGTGAAAATCCATTGAAATCTGTTGATGATGTATTCAAAATCCCTGCATTCCCATTTCTCTTTGAGTCTTTCCTAAATGGTGCAGTTCACAAAGATCATATCATATCCACAGAAGTCCTTTGGTTCTCTATTAGGATATGCCTCTTGGAAATTCCAGCTAATAGGATAGCTGAGTCTAGCATGTACTGTAAAGATGAGGACTCAAAGAAATGGACACAACATACTGATAACTTTTCGTGATGTTTCATCTTGTTTTTGTTCTTTTCTGAAACTCTTCCTTTAAAACATTTGCTGTAAAACAGTTTTTTGGTAGTGTTGTGAACTTAATTAAGGCTTATATTTGAAACACCAGAAATGTCTCACCCTATAAGAATTCTGAAGAAGCTGTCAGTGAATGTGATCTAATTTTTCATTTGTTGTTTCTGCTTGAAATGTTATAGAGGCAACTTTGTTTTCATTTGTTACCAAGGTATGGTTATTTTTCTTCCAGTGTTACAACAGACTTATCTCTTTCAAGCCCTCTCACAAACCTTCAGATAACATATTTTGCTATTGTATGTTTTTTTTTTAAATTTGTGAACCCTGGTTTTGCTACTTATTTCTCTCAGATTGTGTCTTTGGAAATTGTATTTTCTATATAGTTTGTGGGTACACCAAGCATATGGTATAATGATTTGTTTGAGGTGGCTGATGAGCAAATATGTAGAGCACTTTAACCGATTGACTACTGAGGCACCTATAGAGTATGTCCACCTCCAGCAGTGGAATGTGAGTGTGCTGTATATAGTGTATTGCTTGCAAAAATTCTGTGCACATTTAAAACAGCTTCAGTCAAAGGGTTAATGTTCAGTTGCAACATATTTTAATTTATCTGTAAAGTTTGTTTTAATGGCCCTTGTCCCCAACTATTTTATTTCCCCCTGGTCAGCGGTCTCACTGTATTAAGAACAACTGGCAGGTATATCTCAATTAGTTGTAGTATTTTGGAAATCATCTTTGTTAATACTTTTTATCTATTTTAAGTTATAATAACCCAAGATGTGTATTAACTCTTCAGTTGCACACAAACAAGTTAAATATGATTGAAAATTTCATCGTACATTAGTTATATTTGATTTGACTATAAGCAAGTAATATGCATTCTTTTAAGTAAACGATTTGAGTGTTTAATATGATTGCTTTTTGAATATGCACTGCTTTAACATCATAGCTGAGTTTAATTTTATTGTAAATTACATGTTGCTTTGAGGTGTTAAACATTTGTGTGGTGAAGAACTTAACTGACTGATAAAAAAGGAACTTATTTACTCTGTAAGTTTATTTTTGCATCAACATTCTTGATGGCTTGTCCTATCATCCATATGTCGGATAAGCTTTACCCTTTCATGGATGGTATTTGTCTTGGATGAAGGTAAATAAACTTTTGATATCTTAAAGTATGTATTTCATTCTACATTTCTTCAAACTTATGGGGATCTGCATCGACCTAGACAAAGGATATAGCACAATACAAAAAAATCAGATAAGCAAACGAATGGTCAAAAAATGAACTAAATTGTAATTGTTATTGAACGAACGCTTATTCCCACTTTTCATACGTGTTTTTCTAGCATTTTGCATTAGTAAAGTATTCGCCAAAATAAATGATTTAAGTTATTAAATTGAGTAAGTACCCTTATGTTGTACTCCATATTGTGCTTGTACTTTCTCTTCGATTATTTTAACCAAATTAAAAGTGATGCAGCACATGAATTTTATTTACATTTATCTTTCTTTCTTGAGAATTTGGTTCAATTATTCTTTTATGTTTTGGAAATTATGACTTTTTTCCCTACTTGAAGTTGAGTGAAAGTTAACAAAGTTGCTGTTGTTAGGATCATATCAGATGCATCGCTTAAGATAGAACATTGTGTTACACGTCAATCGATAGATCTCATCGAGCACTTTTATCCCATACCAATTTAAGTTCTACAAATCACACTAATGAACGAATGCATTCCATTTTTTTATATATTTTAAACATCTGTTTATTCCTTATATACTGTGAAGATTTTGCAGCATTCTCCTAAAAGAATGAAGATTTATAGAAGAAACAGGTTCCTTATCTGACATTATCATACTTTCGTCAGCATTTGCGCATTTATATTTCATAGAATTTAAACTGATGATCAAAGATGGATAATTTCTCTGTTGCAGCTTCTACATGTTCAATATTACACCATGCAAAGAAATCAATACATTCGACTCATTATATCTAATGTTTTGGAAGAATTAGATATTTATACCATTTCGTATCTGACATTATCACACTTTCGTGCAACATTCACAACTTTTTCCAATACTAAATGTACACTAACGATCAAAAAGCGTTAATTTCTCTGTGAGAGCTTCTTCATGATGGGTATTATCACACAGAAAAAAAGCAATGCATTCTCCTCACTATTACTAATGTTTATGAAGCATAATATATTTCACTAATTACTTATCTGACATAATCACACCTTCTGAATACTTTGAAGGTCGTTAGCAAAAATATTAATTACACAGGTAAACTACTACTCAAAAACACTAAAGCAATGAATAATGTTTCCACTTATGAGAATATGAACCATAGTTATTCTTACTCATGTTTCTGTGTGGATTATAAGTTGCTATATGTACCTCATTTTCGTTGGTGGGCTCTACTTCTTTTAAGTGGAATTGTGAGCCCACCAACTATGACATTAATTAAATTTTTTTTATTGTATAACCCCTTTAACACCATTATATGTATGTTACATAAGTAACTTCCTTAAATTTCTTTGCAATTTATCTCTTTTCATTACACACTTTTCTAAGTAAAAAATTACTGTTAGTCAAACTTAAAGTAAAAATTCTAGTATACGTAATAAATTATCTATAACCAAATTATCATTTCAAATAGAGTATTAAAACCAGTAGTTTTGTAGTAGATTCAGTTAAATTATTTTGAAAAACTTATTCCTCTTGAAATCACTTCTTTCAGACAAAGTATCTAACTTTCTCAGTTAAATTAATTGCTGGATACTTTAGAAGAAGAATGCTTTATACTGGTACAGAAGATTTTATTGTTTTATAACATTTCTCTTTTCCTAATACGAAGTTTTTTTCGGTCTTCCTTTTATTAATATACTCTTCACGGGATCTTGCAAGCATGTGTACATTCTGATCCTCAAACACCTTTTGCCATTGCCTTTTCTCCTTAGTGTTTGTACTCGTAGGTTGACTTTCTTCCCAAAACTCTTCGAGGTCTTGATGATGTATCTATATCATAGGTTTCTCTTAAAACTTTATCAGCAGTATCGAGGTGATGAGCCATATGACTCACCAAATGAATTTGATCCTAACATGAAACCCCAGTGTTTCTTGTAGCTGTTACAACAGTCTTCCTCATCATAGTTATAGTAATATTACGAAGCTTGTCAGCAACATCTTCACCTAGACATTCAAATCCAAAATGTAAACCAAGCTTCCTTTACAGTTTTATTTACACCTGATGATGCCATATTTGTGCTTCTCTTACTTAGAAATGCATCTTATATGAGATATGCTTGATCTAACCTTAACAATATACCTTTTTTTACCAGATTATAAAGTTCTCCATGAATATTAATACGATAAAATGGCTGGATTTAACTTTATGGTCACGGATGAAAACCATGTGATTGTCATCCTCATGCTCTGCATTATGAAATTCTTGAAGTGTCATGTTACTTACTTCACTCATTCTTTTGTTCATTATTAAGAGCTGAAGAATGAGATGATTCCTAATACTCAAAAATGTGAATACATCAAATTGTTCATAACACTGAAGAGATGCTCTCAGTCTTTACAGTTGTGGATTCGAAATAGTTTTTTACATGTTCGGGATGAACAATACAATGTATATTACCAATATACCTTTCAACATCTTCAATTGTCCTCTCTCTGTTGAGACTTGTTTGTACATTTTTAATGTAAACCTCTTATCATTCCAAGTCTTCTTTTGAAGTCCACCCAATCATTGTGGCAGGATTAAATCTTATGAACTACATGAAACTTAAAAGTGTTTAAATAGTTCACAATTATTCCAGCAGTACTAGTTTCCCTCATTTGGTCATTGAGTCTTATGTTCATCAATAGTCATTAATAATGAAAGAGACTCAAGCTTAAATGAGTTTGAATGTAACATCAGTTTTACTATTTTCTCTAATCGATTTATTTGATATTTTGTTTGGGATTGTGTATGTTTCTTGCCTGAGTAGCCCTTCAGAAACATTTTATAGTCATACAGAAGGCTTTCCAATACATCTGACTTTTCATCTAGTTTCTTTGAATCCTCAATATATATGACAAGTGATATAAATTTCTTATACTCTTCGCTACCCTTTTCTAACTTATGAGTTGACAAATGGTTATCAATTCTGGTACAAATTTTGTCACATATAAGACATCTATATATTTTTGTTTTCTGAAAGTGATTTTCTTTTCTTTGCTTTCATTTCCTGTAAAATAGAGGATGCTTTCCAAGTAGGTATTCCTTAATGACACCTTAGGTGATCTTTCATCCACGCTACTCTTCCTGGACAGTTCTCTTTTGGACATTGAAACTGTTTACGAGTGGCTGCTTTCATTCTAGTGGAGGATGATAATGATCTTCTTCCCTTACGTTTTTTAGGCATAATTTTATTTTCTCTCTTATCACACTTGCCGTTATAAATAGTAGAAGAACAGTAGTCTTCCCTTTCCAGGTTTTCAACTTCATCAGAATAATCAGAAAACAGACTGTCACTGTAAATCTTTTCACTTGAGGGAGGGAAATACTGCTCACCAGAAGAATAATCTAGTGTTTCAAAGGACTATAACACTGACCTGAGGGATACTTTTATAAAGACATAAATATTCATTATTTCAAACTGAAAAGCTGAAATGTCTACATTAATCTGAGTCTTTGCATGGATCTATCGTAAAGTGGACAATTAACCCTTTCACTGCCGAATTTTCCTATGGAAAGTTGTCTACAGTGCCAGAATTTCTGGTGAAAAATGCCTATTTTGACACGCGTTATTTTAAAATCCCTAAATCACCCTAAAATGTCTACAGTGCCAGAATTTCTGGTGGAAAATGCCTATTTTGAAACGCGTTATTTTAAAATCCCTAAATCACCCTAAAATGCACATATATTTACTGCAAATGTTAGAAAAGAACATTAAAACAATAAACACAACATTTTAGAGGAAAAATAATGTGATGCTTCTGAAATGCTTGACCGTATGGTACTTTGTGAAGCAGTCCAGAAGACACATGGGCAGGCATTGCCCCCTTCCATCCGTACAATTTATGCATCCATGTCTGGTTTGCTTCATCTTTGGATGTGAAGGGCTTTCACTGCACATTACACAATTAGGCTTGTATTTAGGATCTGGATAAGCCAATTGAAAGTGACGCACTGTCAGTCGCTCCTCACAATTCTCTGGGTTATGTATCAACCTCCTTCCTTTCCTTCCAAATTTATTCAGAGGAATAGAAGCACAGACTTGGGTTTCCACTTTTTCCCTGAATGAATGTGGCTTCATTTTTGAATTAGGGTTGACAGTTGTGTACAGTACGTAGGAGTTGACTAGTGCTGCTTTTGATGAAGTGATAAATTGCGTGGTACCACTTTTTGCATTTGTGTCGATATGGATAGCTGGTATATTTCTGATCAAACAAGTCAACTCCTCCCCTTGAAGCATTGTAATTGCAGGCCACATTTGGCTTTTACACATCCCTAAGTCCAGTCTCTGACTGCTTGGATCAAATTTGTTTCGGAGTGTAACCATTATTATCGATTGTTGAGGGGAATTTGACCCTTGCAGTGTCATGCCAGGAGCAGACAAGCATATTACCATTTCTGTAATAAACCTTTCTTCAGCTGTAATCTTGCTGGTCTAATTTCTTCTGGAAATCCCCTTCTATTCGATCTCACAGTTCCACAGACACCAGTACCCTGTTCCTTGAGGGCTTCAAAGAGGCCACGGCTGGAGTAGAAGTTATATAAATGGTGGCCGAGGTTCAAGTATCCATTACTGCCCATCAGTTTCATAACAACATTATGACCCAAGCTTTGCTCTGGTGCCACAGGGTTGTTATCTCTACCAGTATAAACACCCCAATCTAAAAGATAACCTGACTTGCTCTCACACAATGACCACAGTTTTATACCCGACCTTGTGGGTTTGTTCGGTATGTACTGAAGAATGTATATCCATCCCTTGAACTTCCACATCGATTCATCAATTATAAGTTCACGATGTGGAATATAG